GAAATATTTGATTCGACTTAGCGACTTTTCGGATAATTATCGATGTAATTTTGAGGTGTTAAATCAAGAACAAATTGGTTCCAAAATCCCAAAAATGCCGCGTGGTAAATTTATGAGTGAAATTAAGAAATATAAAATTTTCCTGTCTGATTTGAATGATAAAGTAGATCTGTTGTATCAGTTCTCTCCTGATGAGATTCGTGGATTCGTAGGGGCTGATGTCGCAAGTAAACTGTATAGCGGAAACATAAAATAGTTAGACTCAAGTCTAGTTTTTATGAAACGCGGCTTGGATGGACACTAATGGGTAACGCTGATACGATCGAAACTTCAGATAGCACGAATAGCGTTATGTCGCTACATGTAAGATGATGGGAAGGTACATTGTACACCTCCCGTGGATACAAGGACATCCTACCTTGCCCAGTTGCAAAAATGTTGCAGAACGAAGGCTAAAGGGCTGCATTGATTCACTGAAGAGGAGTGGAAGTTTAGAAGCATACGAAGAACTACTTAGAGAGTGGCTTCAAGGAGATGTTATTGAAGAAGTTAAGAACTCCTGTAACGAAGAAAGTGAACACTACCTCCCTCACAGGGCTGTAGTGAAAGAAAATTCCACTACAAGAGTGAGACCTGTTTTTGATGGATCGGCCAGAGAAAAGAACTCACCTTCTATGAACAACTGCCTGGAAAAGGGCCCCAATACAGTCGAGCTCATTCCAGCCATCATGAATCGATTTAGATTAAAGACAATAGGCGTTGTTGCGGACATTCGTAGAGCCTTCCTACAAATTGGACTGAGTGTAAGTGATCGACTATATCTAAAGTTTTTATGGTGGAAGGGTGGTGATTCGGCCAAACCTAAAGTTTTCCAGCATAGACGAGTTGTGTTCGGGTTTTCTTGTTCCCCGTATCTTTTGGGAGCAACCATTTGATTTCATTTACAGAATGCTCCTCACCGTTTTGAAAAAACAGCCAATAAGCTGTTGGAATCCTTTTACGTGGATAACTGTGTTATTACTGTGGAAAACCCCGAAGAACTTGAGAAATTTAGGGAGGAATCCAAACTGGTTCTTAACACTGTCAAATTTGAATTTCGAGGGTGGAAGCACAGTTATAATAATCAAGAATCTGAAATCCCTTTGTCGAAAAATGAAAAGAATATTCCAGTTCTAGAGCTTAAGTGGAAAGAATGACGCTTTGACGGTAGATTTACGAGAAAATGTTGAAGACGATACAGCTGTGACCAAGAGAAAAATCCTGTCAGCAGTACATAACATCTTTGATCCCCTTGGCTTTATCTATCCTGTTACTATGGTACCAAAAGTCCATTGCATAGAAGTTGGAGAAGTGGAGACGGGAACTTTCTAAGCTGAAAGAAATAGAAATTCTTCGATGTCTTATCCCGAATTGGGAAGTACGAAGAAGTCTAGCATTGCCTGTATTCTGTGATAATGGTTCTAATTTTTCAGGAGTTGAGAATTTGCTGAAGAAAATTGATTGGGACGTCATTTCCCAATACAGCGGATCTCAAAAGATCATTTGGAAATTTATTCCTCCGTCTGCCCCGTGGTGGGGTGAGTGGTAGGAACGTTTGATAGGTATAATCAAAGGTATTTTACGAAAGGTTCTAGGAAGTTCACTAAATTTAGAAGAAATGAACACCGTTATTTGTGACATTGAAGGTGGGATTAATCTACGACCTTTAACCTACATTTAAGAAGATGTTTATTTAACTCCACTTAACCCTTCTATGTTTTTGCATGATCCCAGATCTTGATGTTCTGGATTCGTCGTCTCTAAATAAAAGACATGTTTACCGACAACGTGAAACAAGATTTACGAAAACGATTTCGTACTGAATATTATGAAATTTACACCAATCATCGAAATCTCCTAAAAATCAGAAACCCTTCCAAATTGGTGATATTGTTCTGGTTTCTAGTGACAACGTCAAAAAACTTGAATGGCCTCTGGCTAGCGTAGTCGAACTCTATCCTTTTGAAGATGGACTAGTTTACCTAGTAAAAATAAAAATGAAAAATGGAGAATTACTCCGCCCAGTGCTTAGGTGTAAGCGTCTTGAAGTGACTGATAAAAGTGACCCTGTTATACTGTAGCAGAACAAGATTCTATTCCCAATGAACCGAAGACTTGAAAATCGTCTTTCAGAGACCGCTTCTGACAAGCCAGTACTAGCTCGAAAGATAACTCCTTGTAAACAAAGAACTCTTAATGACTTTTTTCCAGAGACTGTTCCTGAAAAAAGATCCAGATATGGACGATTAATTAAACCTAGAATTAAGATTTGAGATTCCCTGGTTCGAATCTGAAAGGTTGGAGTATGTTGGTATACGTGATACTTTCGCTCGTGCGCACGTATAACGGATTGAACTAGTAATAAGAAAAGATTACGTGAGTTTTTATCGCACGCTCAATGATTTATGATATATAATCAATGCTCTATTTTCAGTTAGTTTGTTTTTGAATGTTTTAGAAAATGGATGTGTAGTTTTTGATCTCTTGTAATAACCTCTTTGTTATAACTTGTGCACAGATTAAAAAGTTTTAAAAAACTGATCCTGTATGTATTTTTGGATATACCTGAATGAAGAACTCGATGATTCAGGTAAGTTCTGTTTTTCTTACCTACTGTTGGAATGCTTTCCGCATTAATTAATATTGCCTATTGATAGGAGACATAATTGATATAAAATTATACATGTTAAACTATTTTTATTTGGGCATATTAATAGATCAGGCTAAGTTTTTATCAAATAGTGTAGAGCAATCAAGGGAGAAAGATGCCTAAAAGAAGAGATGCCATCATGGAGGAATTTTGAAGGAAAACTGACTTTGAGTTCGTATTAAAAATAATGCATGTAATTTTCCTTCAAATAATATTTCTACAAATTTCTTATCTAAAAAATTCCCATATATGCTAAATTGTTGTGAATTACTTTATTCGAAAATATAATGAATGGACAGAAATTAAAGGTTTACACATTCCGAAATTGAAAAATATTAAATATGTATGTGTATTTATGCATGTGCTTGCGAAAAAGCATGTGTATCTGTCTTTACCAAAATAAGTACTTAAATATTTATTAAATTATTTATAAATGTACTTGGAAATGAAGGATTTATTTATTCATAAACTCCTGTGAAAGTTACTGTGAAGAAATCTAGTTATCAAATATATCTAAGTTTATAATGATTATAAATATTATCTCAGTACGTAATAACCTTAACATTTAATTGTAACCATAAATTGAAATTCTGTTGACAAATGCGTTAATGAAATTGTTTAAGCAAGAATTGTTCGTACTGGAAAGCAATCTGTTAAAAGGTATAGTAAACCAAATTCTATGAGAAGCGTACTTAAGGAAGTAGTACGTAATTAAGAATTATTAGAACATGTATTGCTGAAATTAAGGGTAAAAAAAATCTGATAAGTATTAAAAGAATTATTTCCTTACATTTTACAATAACTCAGTTACATGTTTAAAATAATATTAAAAGAAAAAAGAATCCTTTTTCCCGTTTAGAGATACTCATAGAATGTTAAGTACATGGAAATGAGCACCAATATTTAATGTAATTTACTATTAGAATAAAAAGGGATTCTAATTTGAAATGGACCGAATAGAGCATTAATTATAAATTGACTTAAATTTTTCGATTGAAAAGATGCCTCAGAAGCTAAAAACATGATTTCATATTTGAGAAAGTATTTCAGGAAGAAGCTCTGTAAATAGAAAGGAAATAATGCGTAATATTAATATTACAATAAACTTCTATCTTAATTTTTGTAATCCTTAACCGAATAAAATCGAAACTACATTAAATATTTTAAGTAGGTAGTCAGTTGTAATTGTAAGGTAGTAAATCTCTATATATGTAAATAAAAATATCATTCTTCTAAATTTATTTCTCCTGATAAAGCAGGAAACGGTCTTTGAATTACCTAATAAAGTAGGTTAAGGATTTTACTTATCCTCTGTTATTTAATTTATTCATTTAATCATCATTATCATTATCATTACCATTACCATTATCAATTATTATTAAACATCATCATCATCATTATCATTATCAATGTTTTAGTGAATCTGTAAAAATTTTATTACCAAAGTTTGAGTGTAAAACGATCGTGATTAGCCAAATCACACCACGTGACTTTACCTACATTCATTTCTGACGGCCTGCAACATTTGACTCCAGTCCTAAAAATGAATTTTCAAGATTATTTCTCGATTTACGCAAATTATGAACGTGGAAACTTTTCCATTAGCTGGTTTACATCACGTGACCAAAAATTGCAAGTTTCAACATTCTGTATACCTAAAAGGCTGTGTAAATAGTTTACGAGTATACTTCTTGTTTTATTCGCAATATAATTTACATGAGTACTCCACGAGAGTCTTTGATTTATGTAAACTTCTAAAGATTTGGCCTTATTACCCACCGGAACACTTTGACCAAATAGGTAAAGCGGCTTATCTGTGAGCTTGACTTTCTTCCTTCTAATTAATAGTCGCTGCGATTTCCACGCATTAACAGAAAACTTCCAATTGGAGCACCAATCCTCAATGTCGAAAATAATATCCTGCAGAATATTGACTGCTCTATTTGGTTGTATAGATCTGACTGCCACCGCTGTATCACCCGCGTATCAAGCCAGTAAAGTATTTCTGTTAAGCTTTTCTAGCAGGAAATCCGCCGCACAAAAAAACATAGAAGACTGGGCCAAGACAGGATCCCTGGGGGACATCAACAATCAGGTGTGACCGTAGTGCGTCTTTCTATTTTCTTAGAACACATTCTGAGTAACATAAGTTACGCAATTTTCAAACACTTTGCAAATGGACATTCGCAAGCTTAAAATGATTTTAAGTACACTGTTCCTGTTTTGAATTGCATAGTTATAATACGAATTCATTACTAATGTTTTCATTTTATGAATTATGCTAAAAAGAATTTCATAAAAAGGCACTTACGTCTTTTGCTTCATCCATAAGCCTCTGAACCTTTATCTTGTGCCTTATCCTGTGATCAGAATTTGAAGACATCTGAGAAAAAATAGAAAGTTTGTTTAGATTTAAGTGAGCTTTATCAGTTCGAAAATATGCATGAGCATTGCTTGGAGAGAGATTAAAAGCATCAAATGCAGCTTGAAGTTATTTATTCAGTAAAAGATATTTAACACTAAAAAATCAAATTACCATATATGAAATCCCTAGTAACTGTAAATTGTAGTACAAGTACTTACATTTCTTTCCTGTTTTGCATAATTTTATGTAAACAAGGATCCATGAATTATTGCTCTTTTGGAAGCAAAATAAAAAATCTGGTTAATTTATTACAGAAAGATTTTAATTTACAAAATTGATTGATGCCTGGGATTTAACTTCTTAAAAAATCAGACCTAAGAGACCCCCCATGTTCGTATCTCTGACACTTTTGAAACTTGTTCGAGAAAAGAATTTAATCACACAAATATTTACGAACTTCACAAATAAATTTTGTTGGGTAGAGGCGAGCGAACGTTTTTTCTTATACGCATGCGTATTAATTATGATGGCGCAGCTGTCTCTTCTACCGACACATCCGTCATTCGAGCTTCGAGCATAGGGAGATGCTGATATGTTATTTGCTGTGTGATGCTCAATATGATTTCCTGTGTGATATTTTTATTCATTATTCATGTAAATAAAGTGTGTTGTCCTAAACCGATTAGCTTCTTTACTCTAAATATGGGCCTCTCTGAACAACAAATGGTAGCAGGCTCCGTGGTTTTGTCAAGAACAATTGGATATAAAAGACCAAGTCGAAACCGAAACTGTCCTTAGTGGAGCAGCTAAGAACTGGAGACGTGGAACGTTCCCGAATTAACTGGAGAGAACTATTTTATTCTGCGTCATTGAAAATTAAAGCTGCCTTATCACTGAAAAGACTTGACTCAGGGTAATTTCAACAGTGTAAAACCAGAAAACTTAGACGAGAGAAAGATGAAAGATTGTGGAATGAGAAAAAACGCTGACGCCGTAGCATATATAAAAACTTTCACTATCGGATCAACAGGCGCTTCAGTTCTCCACAGAAGAGAATGCAAAAATTCTTTGGGAAAAAATAAAGTCAACATTTACTGGACAATCCGAAGATCGAAAAATAGATGCTGGAATGTAATTAGTTAAAAAATTTAGAAATGAAATTGCATGAGTCGGCTAATGATTATATTGCAAGAGCGAGAGAAATAGCAACTAAGTGCCAATCGCTAGGACTAGATGTATCTCCTTGGAAGCTGGTGTTTTACAAAGTCCGTGGACTTTGTGGAAAATTCTCTCGAATTAGAGAAATTGTAAAAACTCAATGAAGTACTCAAAATACTCTGTGAGGAAGAGTCCGTTCACAATTCAACGAACGGGAAGCAACCTGATGGAACCAACGCAGAGGCGTTCATATCAAGAAGGAATAAAAATTATAAGCCAAGAATTTGTTGCATTTGCCGACAGCCTGGTCACATCGGAAGGACTGCTATACAGAAACAAGAATTCAAAATGTAAGTTATCCAAAGGTAACAAGGACAGAAGAAGTCGCAACCTAGAATGTGAACGTTTCTCTCGTTCTGATGAAGAGAAAGTGATTTTGCTTTCAACTTACGCGTGAAAAAATGATGAATGTGATAATTTGGTTGCTGGATAGTGGTGCAACCGGACACATGGCAAAAGACTTCTTTGTTTCAGAATATTACCAGAGGTGAGGGAAATTTACCAGGCAGGTAAACACTCAAAATATATTCAGAAGGTATTGGTAATGTTAAAGCAAAAGCTATAATTCAAAGAATTCTAGTTTTAATAATTTAACTATTAGTAATGTTAGTTATATTCCTGATTTAAGAAAAACTTATTGTCATCACTGCCTTAATGGATAGAGGATGTAAAATTGAATCAAGGAATAATTCTGTAGTAGTTTTTAGTAGGTGTAATGAATTACTTTTTAAAGCATTAAGAATAACGGTAGGCTTGAAGTTAATTTGAACCATATTATAATTCTGAATCTTGCATTGCTAAGATTGTACTGGTAATAATTATGAACTTTGGCATACTAGATTGTGCCATTTAAATCCAAAATACATGCTTAAAATGAAAGAATACATTGATATTAATGATGTAAATGATTTTAAGTGTGAAACCTGTGACATAAGTAAAATAACTAGAAAAAGTCACCCAAATATTGACATTAATCAGAGTTCAGAAATTTTAGAATTAATTCATTCGGATCTATGTAGCCCTGTTCAAACTGAATCAATTGGTGGGTCTAAATATTTTATGATCTTAGTGGATGATTTTCTGAAATGTATTTTACTTATTTTCTTAAAAGTAAAAATGAAGTGTTTGACGCATTTTGTAAATTTAAAAGCTAAGTATGAAAAATTTAACTGGTAAAAGAATTAAACGTTTGAGAACAGACAATGGTTTAGAATTTGTAAATCAACAATTAGATAATTATCTTGCTAATTCAGGTATTTTTCATGAAAAAAACAATTCCATATAACAGTGAGAGTAATGGGAAAGCTGAACGGGCAAACAGAGTTCTTTTAGAAAGGGCTGGGACATTACTACATGAGAGTGAGCTTGTAAGGATCTTAAGTTTTACTAACGTTTATTTTATTTTAAATCTTTACTATCACTTCTTAATTTCTACTTCCGGCCAGAATTAAAAGCGTTAACTTATTTATGCAAAATTTGTCTGGCGAACGCCAAGTACTTAAGTTGTGGCTTTTTGCCAAGCAAGAGAGAGGAAGGAGTTATTACAAGCAGGCCGCTTGCCATAGTAGTTTTACTCGGTTGCTGGTTGCCTTCAAGGCCAGAGGTTTAATCCTCTTGATAATTTTAAACGTATGTAGTTTTAAGCAGCTCTCTGTACTACATACGGATTTTTTGTTAAATAACGGCCAATCTTAAGTTAGGCCCTTATTATTCCAAAGTTAGTTAGTTAGAGTTTAGTTAATATTTTTTTTTATTCTTACGTTCAGACCACAAGTGGTGGTCTCTGTATTCCGAAGTACGGAAATTATTGTAAAGAGTGAAAATAAAGGGTTTTGTATACCCTTCCTGTGTATCTTGTCTACTTCCCACATTTATTGAACATAGCTTTAGTAAGCTCCCTGTTCCGAGTCAGGTTCCCAAAGAAAGTAAGGCGGAACATTGAACCTGATACTGGTGCCCAACGAAGAAGAATAACCATGGCCGAGTTTCAAGAAAAACCTGTGCTGCCTGCAGAAGCGGCTCAGAATCCAGAAATGCCAGCTGCCGCCCTGGAAGGATTTGGTTACATCGTCCAGACCATGCGCGCTTCGATGAAACCAGAAGCAACATTTAATGGAAACTCACCGGTAACCAGTTTTTTGGAAAAATTGGATGACCTACTTCATGCTATATCCAGTGCACGAGTTTCCAGAAAGTTACCTTAGCTACCAGCGCTTTGAGGGGCCAAGCGCTTAACTGGTTCAAATGTATCGGGCAGAAGTCTCTTGGGTCAAGTAGGAAGTCCCACCTATACTTACGAAAATTTCAAGACTGCCCTAAGTAAAAGCCTTCCCTGTCGTAAGGGATCGTGCGCGAAATTAGAAACGGAACTTTTCAGCATATATCAGCAAAGAATCGAAAATCTCTCAAGCTTTATTTTAAGAAAAATTCACGTCTTCAAAACTCTTGTATGGAAACCGTCCGGATCCTGAGATAATTCAAGTGATTTTGCCGAGGTTACTTCCCCAAGTGCAAGACTTTATTGAATTAAGGAATCCGACTACACTGGAAAAAGTTATTTGAGCTAGCAATCCAGTTTGAAAGTAGAAGAACGGCGGACATTGAAAGAAGACGCCAATATCAACAACGAAACCAATTTGGTGCGCCAAGACCACAGCAAAGTCAAGCACACGGCTACGGAAGCAAAGCGAATCAGTGGGCAAGGAAACCCGAGCATTCAAAAACAGCCGGCGAACGTCGACAGTTCAATAGCAATCCAGGAAAAAAGTCTCAAGGCCAGTGGAAAAAGAAGGAAAGCATGGAAATGAAAAATGATTTAAACTAAAACGGATTTCTGCTGACGGGAGGGTGCGGAAATCCGAAGGCCAAGAAAACCCCTCTTCCTTCAAGTTAAATACAGTAATGGTGAAAAATTTGACTCTTCCGAAGATTGAAGTGTTGGTGAATAATATCCCAGCCACCGCACTCCTGGATACAGGCGCGCAGTGTTCCTGTGTGGCAGAAGATTTTTTTAGGAAGTATTTTCGGAAATACCGCATATATAATTCGGATAATACGACAGTGTTAGCTGCGCAAGGAGAAAGATGTAAGTGCATAGGTAAATTACCACTATACATCCGTATCAAGGACGAACAAGTAAAGGTTATGTTTTTCATAGTAAAGAATCTGCAAGCACATATTATCTTAGGAATAGATTTTCTTTCAGAGGCACAAGCAACGCTGGATTTTAATGAAGCGTCCCTTAAGCTGACGATGAAACCAGTTCGAGAAGAAAAGGCTGAACCGCCGATGTTAAACCTTGACCACCTGCCTAATGAAGAGCAACAAAAATGCGACAAGTGGTAAGTGAATTTGCTTCGTTATTTAGTGATATTCCAGGATTTACTCAAGGTTACTAACCATAGTATTGACACCGGAGATTCAATGCCAGTTCGCCACAAAGCCATATCGGATATGATAAGAATAAAGGAAAAAATTATAGAATGGCATATCACCGATATGCTACGTAAAAAGATCATAACGCCCATCTCAAGTAGTTATGCTAGCCCGGTGGTTTTATGTAAGAAAAATAATGACTATCCATTGACACATCCAAAAAGGTGGAGATTCGCGATTGACTACCGTAAATTAAACTCCATAACTAAATATCTGGTATATCCGTTACCTATTATTGAAGAAATTCTAAGGAACATAACATCGACCAAATATATGACGACTTTAGACTTAACGACTGGTTATTTTCAAATAGGAATTAGGCCTGAGGACGTGCCTAAGACTGCTTTTATAACCAAGTCTGGCAC